CCTAAAATATAAATCTTTTAGTTATCCCTATTTCATAATTATTGGATTAAGTTGTAAAATTTTTGAACTTTAATCTAATTCGACTGACTAGTTAATTCAGTAACTCTCTAATGGTAGGAAAATTAAATATTTAGACTGTTTACGATGCTATAGCTTATAACAAAGTCCATTGGCCATTATTCTATAACAATCATAAAGCAAGTCAATATGAGAATGAGTGAATGACAGTATGACATGAAATATTTTGCCCAAATTGATTAGATAACGAGAAAATGAACAGTTAAAATGATTAGCTTTAGAAAATGAAATTAATTCAATTTTTTTTTCCTTCCTTATATCGACTGGCTCAATATTTTGACAGATTTGTTTACTATTGTCGATGGTGAAATCCGTTAGGACGAGAGTTAACAGTGTCTATGGACCCGAGACCTGCAAAATAAGGGTTAGCACTCCGACAAGCAAGTCAGTGTCAAGAATGAATGTATAAAATGTGAGCCAAGAAGGGAGTAGTGAAATGAGCTTACTCTCAACCACAAAAAATGGGGTATATATAGATAAGGTGAGGAGAATATTCTCTGAGAATATTCCTTTCAATGATGGGTTTGGGCGATTGTTAGGGCTTTAGGAGTGCCGTGGGTCACGGAAGCCACACGGTGCCGTCGACTACGGGGATCGAGACGGGCTTATAAAAGCTCCAAGACCGCCGAGGCCGTAGGAATGCCGTAGGCCGCGGAGGCCGTACAGTGCCGTCAACCACGGGGATTGAGACGGGCTTATAAAAGCTCCAAGACCGCGGAGGCCGTAGGAATGCCGTAGGCCGTGGAGGCCGTACAGTGCCGTCGACCACGGGGATCGAAACGGGCTTATAAAAGCTCCCAGACCGCGGAGGCCATATGAATGCCGTAGGCCGCGGAGGCCGCATAGTGCCGTCAACCACGAGGATCGAGACGGGCTTGTAAAAGTTCCAAGACCGCAGAGGCCGTAGGAGTGCCGTAGGCCGCGGAGGCCGTACAGTACCGTCGACCACGGGGATTGAGACGGGCTTATAAAAGCTCCAAGACCGCGGAGGCCGTAGGAATGCCGTAGGCCGTGGAGGCCGTACAGTGCCGTCGACCACGGGGATCGAGACGGGCTTATAAAAGCTCCCAAGGCCATAGGAATGCCGTAGGCCGCGAAGGCCGCATAGTGCTGTCGACTACGGGGATCGAGACGGGCTTGTAAAAGCTCCAAGACCGCGGAGGCCGTAAGAGTGCCGTAGGCCGCGGAAGGCCACACAGTGCCATCGACCACGGGGATCGAGACGGGCTTATAAAAGCTCCAAGACCGCGGAGGTCGTAGGAGTGCCGTAGGCCGCGGAAGGCCACACAATGCCGTCGACCACGGGGATCGAGACAGGCTTTGTTGACTTTCTCGCACCTTCGTCCTCGAACTGATGGCCTTTGTCCTCGGACGGATAAGCCTTCATTTTCGGACATGTAGGCATCCACGGACTGAGATGGCATCCTCGGACATGTGGACGTCCTCGGATTTGTGAAGCCCTACATGGCGTCCAGATGCAAAGGGGTTATTCCTTTGTTCTTAGTACATACAAAGGCAATTAAAAGTATGTAATATACTAACCCCGTACACTTGTTAACAAAGTTTCGAGAGAAGGATTACATCTTCGTTTACAACACGAATGCGAGTGTTCAAGATAAAAGACGTGCCCCCCGTTCAATAACTCAAAACTTTGGAAAGGATATTATATCTAATTTTCAAAATGGTTTTTCCGAGTGAAGGGTAGATCGTCTTCGGACCAAATTTTCAAAAAATAATTCACCATTTCAAACCACCAAGCATAGATATATTACCCAAGAACAAATATATATTTTTTTAAATAGTTTTATTTCCTTTTCCTCATATTTCCGCGAGTAAGGGGGGACATAGCACATAATCAAATACAAACCATATTCGAAAGCCCAAAGAGTACATGAACCGATGATAGCTCTACTCTCTATATGTCATGCTATAATGGTGTATTTATGTTGGCTACACCGATTTAAGCATCGGTAAATGCATAATCAATTAGTAAGGAGGAAATATGTATAATCACATACCCAACTCCTCCCCCCAAATAAAATTATTTAAGAAAATAGACCATCAAATGGTGATAAAGTGGTTAAGAACACTTATCTTTGTAGTTGCGTAGGGCTATAACCTAGCAATGGTGTTGGAGAGCTCCCAATGATGCTTTATATCCTTGAAATTGGCTTGTAAAGCTCTCAGATGGGCCCCAAAATCTTCGCCAGGGGTCTGATTGTCTCGTTTTCAAACTTCAGGGTCGATTTGGTAATTTTTGAATATTTTGGGGCCGATTTGTAAATTTTTGAACTTTTGGAGCCGATTTGTAAATAACTAAAGTAACAGGGACTTGATTGCAAAGTTTTGAGTTTTCTGCAATTCTTGCCCTTTTTCCCGTCCGACGTCCGGTTCGTCGTCGTCTTCCTCAACCCGCGGGTTTTTGCTGCTGTCGAAGGTGGATCGACGCCGATACGAGCTGAAATCAAACCCTAAAGCGAAGCCAAGATCGAACACCGAAGGCGGAAACCGAAGGTGAGTCACATTGTCGAAGGTGGCTTTGGTTTGTGGTCGACGGCGAAAGCTTTGTCAGGGAGGTGCTTCATGGCTCGAGCGGAGCTCCTCCGATTCAATCAGTAGACAACGCCGACGAGGAGGAAGACGGTGACGACGATGATGAGGACGGTGACGGTGATGACGACGATGGTGGTTCTGCTGGCAGGAACAACCGGACGAGAAGGCGGCTGCCCGATGTCAGAGATGACAACCGGACGCGACTTGTTTTCGAGGCCGCCACCGCCGTCCGTTACTGCCGACAACAACGCTAAAATCTAGGATGACTGCAAGAGACGGAAGCAACCTTCGGCAGCCGCGGTCCAGATAGAAGCCGCGGACGTCAATGGAGTTGCTGCTGCCGATCAGAGGTGTAAAAGATCGTGCAAGCCTTGGTTGTCTTGCACGACGGTTGAAGCTTCTTTGTCAAGGAAGGGAGTTGACCCTTCGAGTTGGTAAGCCGACCGACGCTGATGATGTCGAGGACAAAGCTCCCAGCCAACCAATTTGACATGATCCTAGTTACGGCTGCCGATGATGACCCCTTTTGCGACGCGTTGATGAGGCTGCCCAAAGGTGAAAACAACAGCCGAAGATGAAGCTTTACGAAGGTGAAACCGGCAGCCGAAGACGAAACTTTACGAAGGTGAAACCGACAGCCGAAGACGAAGCTTTACGAAGGTGAAAATGTTGATTCGAAGGTGGCATCGTGGTCAAGCTTCCACCGTTGGCGAAGCTTCCGTTTCGGAGCCAAAACCCGAACCCGATGATGGCTCCAAAGCAAAGCTCCCCGACGCGGCCTTCTTCCCAAACTCCAAGGCTGATATTTTGTTCAACGACGGTGCCGCATCGGGCTTGAATTGTTGCGGAAAGCGACAGGCACCATGCTGGGGACCGACGGCCGAAGACGGAGTGTGAAGCTGGACGCGGCGGCTGATAAAGGGGTTACAACTCCTCTATCTGTTGGGAGTTGCAAGGAACTTGAAGCATGTTGCCGCCGAAAACTCCTCACGGATGGGGTTTGAATAACTTTAATTAAAATTGGAAATAAGGAGATCAAAAAAACCCCGCACCAGGCTTCGCCTTTTCATGTAAACAGAAACATCCACCCAAAAGGCTTTCCCGATTCAATATTAAATCCCAACTCAACAACTCCCTGTATAAGAGAGGAGCGTGAAACTCTCAAACTCGCATTTACACCCCATTTTTGGTCCAAGTCCATAATCGATGGACCACAAACTCGAACCTCCAATCAAGAACCTAAGTCCCCACAGACGGCTCCACTTGTCGAGGGTGAAAACTGTTAGGACGAGAGTCAACAGTGTCTATGGACCGAGACCATAAACAGGTAAGACTCACGAGCAAGTCAGTCAAACACAAGAGTGAATGTATAAAATGTGAGCCAAGAAAGGAGTAGTGAAATGAGCTTACTCTCAACCACAAAAAAATGGAGTATATATAGATAAGGTGAGGGGAATATTCCCTGAAAATATTCCTTTCAATGATGGGCTTGGGTCATTGTTAGGGTTTTAGCCGGCCCAATAAGCCATAAAGGAATATTATCGAACCCATGAATGATTGTCGACCCAAGTAAAGTTGCACCTCCAACAACTATCAGTCCAATTTATTTATGATTATTATACAAAACCAATCGATGAAAATAATTAGTTTCAATGTAATACAATTAATTCAACATTTTATCTATTTTAAGCGATGAATGATAGTAGTATATTAGTTCTAAAAATTATGAAAAAAAAAACAATAAATCTAGTAAAAGTTGTTACTAAACAAAAATTATTTTTGTGGGAAGAGTTTTTCTTTTCCCCCACCAGAACAATATATTCATCAATACTAGTATTTGACATCCGAATTCCAAAAGAAAAAACACATACTCACGCAGAGAAAAAAAAGGTTTCCAACATTACAGTCTTCCTAACTCCATAGCCGTGTGTTTGTGGTTTCAAGAAGACTTGATGCTTGAAGGGGGAAAGTCAACCATTATTAACCAAACAATCTATAATTAGATGTAATCCCTCAAAATTTTTTCCAAAAGAAAAAAAAAACAAAAAAAAAAGAACCAACGTTGACGTACTTCCGGAATTTCTCGCCGTGGATGCCGCACTAATTCATGGTTGGGAGGAAAAACCTTTATGTGCAACAGAAGACATAAAAATTCAGCTGACCAAATAAAGTCAACTTCAGTAAACTGTCTCATCCTCTTTCTTCTTCTTTTTTTTTTTTTTAACCATCACATACGAATTAAAATGGATTGGCTTGCTTTTGTGTTTATGTGAAAAAGGGAGTTCCTGTATTTATGAAATTGCATTAAAAATTTGTTTGTTCACTTTAATTATAAATAAATAAATGGAACAATATTTGAAAGGGGACCAGCACACTACCCACGTCCCTCGCACTTGCAGGATCTCTTCAGTCTTTCACACATTCACAGTTCATAGTTTTCACACAGTCACACACTACATTTCTCTCTCCTGGTTAAATAAAAAAAAAAAGAAAAGGGGCCCCGGAGAAAAAGGATTTAGCATTAATGCTGTAATGAAAAGGCCAAAAAGGGGTAGAAGATGGAACTTTGAAGAAGAAGAAGAAGAAGAATGTGATTGTCGATAATACTAGTACTTTTTCGTGTGGGAAGAAAGAGGGATTCTTCTACTTCCAAAAAAAAATGCTCACATCAATGAGGCAGCTCCTGCTCTTCCTTTTTTGCTTCTTCGTGTTCTTCTCCTGTTTCCAGCCCACTTTCTCTCGTGGTTAGTCTTTTCTCTTTAAACTAGTGCCCTTATCTTATTTCTGATGCCAACATTGTGGGAATGCATTTTGCAAGTACTCTGCTATTTTAGTTGCTTTCTTTCTCTAAGACCCTGAATTGCAGATACTTAAAAGGGGTGATTTGTGGCCTCTTGGGATGTTTGAATCTGAAGGCCTTACCGGGGATTTTTGCTGGGTTTATTCATTTTTTGTCGATAATGAAGGTGTTCTTTGTTTTTTTGTCATAAGCTTTTAAGTATTTTCAGTGGGCTAATTTGACAATCTGCTAATCTGGCAATGAAGTAAATTCTTGATTTGAAATGTTATGGGTTGGAGGTGGGTTTTAGTAGATGGCCACGAGGGACAATATTTGATCTTTGAGCCATTCTACGTCACCTTTAAGGTATATAATAATAACTACATGGAAAGAGTTTGATCGGTCAGATGTGTTAGTTCTCCTCCTTCACTCCGTGCTGTAGTGCTACAAGTTTGTTTTCTGGAAGTGTTGTCTTTTACGAAATGAACAAATCTAAGTTGAAATGTAGGAGGCCGAAGCAAAGAGTGTGTAAACTTAAGTGTTTGCAAGTTCGGATTCTAATTTTGCATCTTCCTATTCATCCTTAGTTGGCAAAAGCATTTGCATTGATAGTGAGTACAATCTGTTTAATGCCTTTGGCGTGTCTAGATACATTCTAAAAATTATGGGAAAATGGTTAGACCATTTTTAGATGATTCAAAAGCCATAAATTCTCTCTGAGGAGATAAGCAACCATAATTCTAGTTTCTTAAGTAGTTAAAGTGTGTCCCTTTATTGTACAATCACACATATTGGTGCTCCATTTTCTATATGAGCTCGACATCATCTTTTTATGCAGCATGAAAACAGAATGCGATTGTTCCTTTGATACTGCATTGTAGAGCCTAAGCTGGCTGTCTTTCTAATAATGTGAATGGCTGGCAACGAGACAATTGAAAGCATCTTCATATTTCATAAAGTTTGCTTAAATGAGCTTCTTTTTGGTTTATTACAGCACCATATGTAATGAGAATAAGTTGTGGAGCGCGAAATGATGTCCGCACTTCACCAACAAATACAACCTGGTACAAAGATTTTGCATATACTGGAGGAATACCAACTAATGGAACCCGTCCAAGTTATCTAACTCCAAATCTGAGTACTCTTCGCTACTTTCCTCTATCTGATGGTCCTGAAAATTGTTACAACATCAATAGAGTGCCCAAAGGTCACTATGCGGTGAGGATCTTCTTTGGTTTGGTCTCAGAGCCCAATTTTAACAATGAACCATTGTTCGATGTGTCCATTGAAGGAACTTTAGTTTATTCTTTACCGACCGGGTGGAGCAATCACGATGATGAGCAAGCATTTGTTGAAGCCATTGTATACCTAGAGGATGGGACAGCATCTCTATGCTTCCACAGTACTGGTCATGGAGATCCGGCAATAATGGCCATTGAAATTCTTCAAGTTGATGACAGAGCATACTTCTATGGCCCAGGTCATGGTCAAGGAACAATGCTTAGGACTGTTAAAAGATATAGTTGTGGTGCTGAAGATCAAAAGTTTGGTGTTGACTACCGTGCAGATCCCTGGGGTGGGGATCGGTTTTGGGATTCCATATTAACTTTTGGTCAGAGTGCTGATACGCCAATATCCACAAACAATAGTATCAAGTTAGCTTCAGTTGCTCCGAATTTTTACCCCGAAGCTCTCTACCGGAGTGCTGTAGTTAGTACTGATACTAATCCAGTCTTAATATTCACAATGGATGTCGATCCAAATAGAAACTATTCAATCTGGTTGCACTTTGCGGAAATTGATTCTTCAGTGAAAGCTTCTGGCCAAAGGGTGTTCGATGTCTTGATCAATGGTGACGTTGTATTCCCAGATGTTGACATTGTGAAGATGAGTGGAGGTGTTTATAGTGCCCTAGTTTTGAACACCACGGCTGTAATCAGCGGTAGAACTTTGACCATTGCTATGCATCCTACAACGGGTAACTCTGCCTTAGTCTGTGCTATCGAAATTTTCGAGCTTATAGCAGCAGAGGCAAAAACATCACCCGGTGAAGGTAACGCTTCATCTTTTGTCATGGTTCCTTGCAAGTTTTTGTGAACACTATGCTTCTCCATGGCATACTGCCCAATTGCAATGACTGGTCATGCTATCATTTTACCAATTAAATCTTACGTTTGTTTTATTGACTCGCATCTACTTTTGTTTTAATCGGTTTTATTCCTTAAATAAGTAAATAACTGATGAAGATCCTTTCATGTTGCTCAATAGTGTTTTTCTCAATCTAGATTGCTTGGCATGTTAAGTTTTTAATGGATTTCAAGAATGAACCTCAGCATTGCTTTTTATTTTTGACATGTCTGGCTGTCCCTCTAATTAGGACAAATACCGGTTTTGGTTCCTAAAGTTTAGGGGGTAGCCCAACCCAGTCACCACAAACATCTTGTCTCCAATTTTAGTCCCCATAAAGTTTCTTCGTACCACTTTTGATCTTTTTAACGGAATTTGGAGGAAACTAACGGTTCTCCGTTACATGCACAAGATTATATTAATTTCTTCCTGACGGTGGGCCCCACTAATTTTGACCTAGAAAAAGAAATGGGTTAAAAGCCAATTTGTTCCCCAAAGTTTAGGAAGTCCAATGATTTTAGTCACCACAAATTTTTATTTCATCATTTTTAGTCCTCATAAATTTAATTCTTTAACTGCATTTACTCATTTTATTTTAATTTAAATTTTAGATTTATATTTTAATTTTTGTGTCTTTCAAAAGCTTTTTAGATTTGATTAGAAAATTCAACATTCCTCCAGTTATAAATCATAAAATTCATAGTCCAAATGTAATGAATGCAAAATGTGATTCATATAGCAGACTTCAGATAATGGTATCGAGGCTTCTTGTTTTTTTACTGTATGACTTTCCATGACATTTAAATACTGTATGCCATCAGTTGAATGTTTAGTGATAGCTCTACTTTCCTCCCTGCAGTTAAAGCTTTACAGTCATTAAAATCCGCACTTGGCCTTCCCCTTCGTTTGGGGTGGAATGGTGATCCTTGTGTTCCTCAACAGCATCCATGGAGTGGGGCTGATTGTCAATTTGACAGGATTTCAAACAAATGGTTTATTGACGGGCTGTAAGTTTAATCTCTCGGCTATTCTCGGCAGAGAAATTTGTAGCTACATACTGCAGCTATTTACATTCTCTCCATTTTGGACTCATGCTGAGTTCCTAACCGTTTAACTACTGTGCAAGGACAGTGGTCTTGACAACCAAGGGTTGAGAGGCTTCTTACCGGCGGAAATATCTAAATTGCAGAATCTTCAGAGCATGTAAGTCATGAACTTTTGTAGGAAGTTCAGTAACAACTTAAAATTGCAGTATTGTTTTAGACTTTACATGTTAAAGTATGCTTCGAACACGATTTATGGTTTGTACTTCATGCTCATTGTGTGGATTTTGAATTTTTTATTATTATTTATTCGTGTTATCGTTCTTTATTCAATTGCTGCTATTGCAGAAACTTGAGTGGGAACAGCATTGGTGGGCCTATTCCTTCATCGCTTGGCACAGTTCATACTCTAGAAGTACTGTGAGTAAATTCTCATCTTTTGCAGTTTATTTTCTTGTTTGTCTGTGCATTAGTTGTGGAATATAACGAGTTGAAATATTGTGTAGTTTCATTTCAGTTTCATTCTTTGGCAGTGCTTCCATTTCATACTAAAGGAACATGTCTTCTATTAGTATCTGTAGTAGTGGCACCCCCTATTTATGGATTATCAGGCTAATGAAGATAACATGCCAAAATTTCTCTCAATCCACCAAGTAATATACATATGGTCGTTGTTTTTCTCCTCCAATATGAACCCAAATCCCCTATCTACCTGGGATTAAGGATCACAGAGAGAATATTTTAAATGAGTTTACATTTGGACTTCGCATATTCTCCCTTTATTTGCTACAACTTCAAGAGGCATGAAGCATTCCTATAATGCTGATGTGATTTCTGATCAGGTTCTTGGTTTTATAGGGACCTTTCATATAATTTTCTGAATGGATCAATTCCGGAGAGCCTTGGACTATTGACCGCCCTACGAATATTGTAAGATCTTTTTAGAGTGTTGTTTGAAGTTTAATAGCAATGACATTGAGTTTGGATGTTGGATTAAAGTGTGTTTGTGGTTCAGGAATCTGAATGGAAATTCTCTATCAGGAAAAGTCCCAGCTGCATTGGGCGGGAGGCTTTTGCACAGAGCTAGTTTCAAGTATGCTCAATAGTTGCCCTTTCATTTATACTTTGACATTGCCTATGTTTATGCTTCCGGCTAGTGTAAGAATCCAGTTTTTCATTTGTATTTCTTTCTCGATGAAAGTAAAAAGAATTAGAGAGTTATTTTTGAGGTTCTGTCAAAATTCTTTATGCTTTGAAATCATTAACCGTAGTCCATATGAATAGGATGATTCACTATTGCAGCTCATTGGTTTCAATTTCTTCTACTATTATCTTCCACCAGAATCTAGACACTGCTGACCTCTTAGTGCCCTATTTTTTAAAGTTTCAACCTTTGCTGGATTGGAATTGCAGTTACCCACCACTTCATTATCTCTCAAAGACAGCAATTTGCTGACGACTGGGTATTATGGTCCTTGATTAGTCTCATCTGATTTCCTTAAAACATTGATTTTCAGTTTAATTAGTTAGCGTTTGCAGTATCCCCAAGGAGAGGGGCGAGGGAAATAGTGTAGTGCTTGTGTTGATAACCTATGATTCTCATTAGTTTACAAGTTGATTATTAGTCATATCTACAGATTGAGATTGGTCCATTATAAATAGCAGCGCCGGCAGAGACCACTGTTACTGGTGCAAGTATTAGAATCTGACATTTTGAAGTTCTGTAACTAACTGTGGATTTTTCAATAGTTTTACAGATAATGCTGGTCTTTGTGGCATCCCGGGCTTGCCAACATGTGGGCCTCATCTATCTGCTGGAGCTAAAATTGGCATTGGATTAGGAGCATGCATATCCCTCTTGTTGTTGGCAACCTGCTTGACATGTTGGTGGAAAAGGCGCCAAAATATCCTCCGAGCACAGAGAATTGCAGGTATCAACATTTGCCTCCTGAAGTTTATATGATCATTAAGAACTTCTGGGAAGATTTTCTTTTGCCGGTGAACTATCTCATTTTACCGGGCTCGCCTCTTTTGTCATTGTTAATATTTTTCTTAGAACAGAGTGAACGTCCTTACACATACATTGAGAAACATGATTGTTGTTACTAATAATTGTTTTCTGTTAATTGTTCAGCAAGAGATGCTCCTTATGCGAAAGCAAGAACTCACTTCAACCGAGATGTTCAAATGACTCGGCATCATGGCCAAGAACGCACAGCTGCTGAAAATGGTCCTAGTCTGCTTGCTTAAATGGTTAGTCATTGGCAATCCTGAGCCAATACCAAATTGGCTTCCATTTTGTGGCTGGATGAGTTGCAAATTGCATAGGATCAAAACTCCATTTTGATTGGTTTGACCTCAACATTCTGTAATCTATAGATGAAATGACCTCAGAAAATGCAACTACACAGTTAGGTCTGTTGCATAATTGTAGATTCTGACTTCAGAATTCAGATCGTAAGAATCGCTTGTACATTGGTTTCATGTTTCACAGCTCGATGTGATAGAATAGTGTAGCATAACCAAAAGCCTTGACTTGTTTTTTTTTTTTTTTAAATATATATATATATATATATATATATATATACATGATTACCAGGTTAACAGTTGGTAAGTGTTTTCTGGAAAGAGTTCAGGTTTTGAACTGTTTTGTTGGGACTGCTTTTTGTTCTTTTGTGTGAGAAGACAGTAGTGGTTAAAAAAAATTATTTACTGATCTCTGGATGTTCTCGTGATCCCTTGATTTGAATCACGACCTAAAACATTCGTTCGAAAATCCTCCGAGACCAGTACCAAGGCTGCAAGGCAAACAAATGTTCGCTTCATGATACTCTCTCCCGTCCCCAAAAAATACCAAATTTAGACTTTTTTTAGGGGGGAAAATAACTTGTTCTCATGTTATGTTCACTACTTTATTGGCAGCCAACCTTCTATTTTGTATTTTGTTTCATTTTACTTCTTAAACACAAAACCCAATGGAAAAGAAAATATCATCCAAACAACGGTCTGATTTACATTTTAAATTTCAACTTGAAACACTTTTTATTAGTGTAATGACCATTTTAGAACTATAAATAGTTCAGTGACAAATTTGGCAGAATTCCGTTGTTGAGTGATTGGTTTTGGAAAAGTACTTTTTTGCAGTGGCTATAATTGACAGTATTTAATTGTTTAGTGATGACTCGAATTTCATATTTCAAAATGTAGTTCAAAATATTTTTTTTTTTCAAAACTAACATCCAAATAATTTTCTGCTCAAAATACTATCCAAACAACATTTTTATTTCCCATTTAGTTTTCAATTTGAAACACTTTCTACTTTTAAGTGGCAAAATGAAATACTCCCTCCGTCCCATAATTATTGTCCAGTTTTACTAAAATGAAAGATTTTATTTTTGATCAAACTTAACTATATTTTACCTTAAACAACCGGATATACCCCTACATAAGTAATTGTTTAACCACTAAGATTTTATGGATAATGTTTTTTACTAAGGACAAATGTGTAACTTGATCCATAAAAAGTCAAATTGGACAATAATTTTGGGACAAAAGTTTTTGAGCAAAGTGGACAATAATTATGGGAGAGAGGGAGTATAAGTTTCACGTTCAAACGAGCACTTAATCATTCGGCTAAACTCTATGCCATTTTATTACCGAACGAATTCATAAAATAGTGAAACTGTGCGCATCCGACCGTTAAGGAACCCAGCCCCCGGCCTACAATCTTATTGCAAACAAATCGTAAAACAATGACCACAACATAATTGTACAATGGGCCGTAGTTTAATTGAAGCCATCAGCATTATTGGGCCTTAACCTGTGATAGGCTCTTTGGCATGTCAAAAATATTTTTTTTCCTACTACCTCATTTTGGTTATTTAAGAGAGAAACGATTACAATAGATGGAACTTTATTGGGAGGGGGGGGGGGCGGTGGGTTGTTAAAATGCAGAGAATCATTGAAGGAACAGGAAGCTAAAAATAAACATTCCTAAATGTAAAATTTTAATTTTCAAAAATAAAGAAAAACACACACGCACGCATATATATCCAAACGCTAAAATATGGTCCAAACTTACTTCAATTTATGGTATTAATTTAGTCAAATAAAATGAATTATTGTGAAAAGTATATTTTCTGAAAAGATTGATTTTCTGTATACACGTTCACGTATATGTTGTACAATATATATACTTATAATTTACATAAACCCTACCCGTCTACCGAAACCCTATTTAGGGTTACCTAAAATACACATTCTATCATCTCCCGCAATCTTAGCAGGATAAGATATCATGTCAAGATTGGTACGAAACACAGAAAATTTATCTTTAGCTAAGGACTTGGGGAAAACATCTGCCAGCTGAGACTGCGTAGGAATATGACGAACAGATAGAAGACCAGCTGTAACGCGATCACGAACAAAATAAATATCTAACTCAATGTGTTTCGTTCGGGCATGAGAGACAGGATTGGCAGCAAGGTAAGCAGCAGAAACATTATCACACAATATAACAGGAGACTGGGGAAGGGTAATATGAAGCTCAGAAAGAAGATGTTCCAACCAAATAGTCTCGGCTAAGATAGAAGCAACCGCGCGGTACTCAGATTCTGCGGAAGAGCATGAAATAGTAGACTGCTTTTTGGAGGACCAAGAAACCAAGGAGGATCGAAAAAAGACACAGAACCCAGTGGTGGAACGACGAGTTGTAGGACACCCTGCCTAATCAGCATCGGAATAAGCCACAAGACGATCAAGGGGACCAGCACGAAGATGTATACCATAATGAAGAGTTCCCTTAATATACGAAGAATTCGCTTGACCGCCTGAAAATGTTGTTCTCGAGGATCATGCATATACTGGCAGACAAGATTTACCGCATACTGGATATCCGGACGAGTGAAAGTGAGGTATTGTAGAGCACCCACCAAACTTCAATAGAGAGTTGGATTGTGAAAAGGTAGAGAATCTTCCACAGAGAACTGAAAAGCTGGACCCAAGGGAGTAGCAACAGGGTTAGCATCCATGAGATGACTGCCAGGCAATAATTCCTCAGCATACTTGCGTTGATGCAAAAACTAGCCATTAGACTGCGGAGAGACAGAGACACCCAGAAAGTAACTGATACGACCAAGATCAGTCATGGCAAAAGCACCTTTCAGAGACTGAACAAGATTGGTAAGAAGCCGATCACTGGAGGCAGTTAAAAGGATGTCATCCACATACGGTAACAACACAGCCATATCAGAACCCGCAGAATATACAAACATAGAAGAGTTAGAACGACTGGCTTTAAAACATTGTGCAAGCAAAAATGTAGTGAACCGGTGAAACCAGGCCCGAGGAGCCTGCTTTAAGCCATAAAGAGCCTTTTTCATGCGACAGACATAGTGAGGATGGTCTGGATGAACAAACCAGTAGGCTGTTTCCTGTAGACAATTTCATTTAGATAACCATGCAAAAAGGCATTTTTAACATTTAATTGATGAACAGGCTACTTATGAGAAGCAGCAATACATAAGACAATCCTGATTGTCATTGGTTTAACCACGGGACTGAACGTTTGATCATAGTCAATGCCAGGTTTTTGATTATAACCCTGAGCGACCAAACGTGCCTTACAACGATCAAGAGAGCCATCAGACTTAAGCTTAACACGAAAAACCCATTTAGAACCAATCACATTTGCGGAGATAGGAGGCGGGACTAAATCCCATGTGTGATTTGAAATAAAAGCATTATATTCATCACTCATGGCTGCACGCCATTCAGGGTATTTATTTGCTTCCGTGAAAGAATGAGGTTCTATTGGAAGAGAGGGGGTAATGGCAGCAAGAGAGACAATTTGTTTAGGTTTACGAGTGCCATCCCTATTTCGAGTGACCATAGGATGAGGTGGGGGGACAGAGGAGGTCGAAACTGATTTGTCAGACAGAGGTGGGTCACTAGGTAGAAGGGACATAGAAACAGACGTCGGAAAGGAACGTGGAGAAGAAGGCACTTGTTGCGGAAGAGTTTTTGGAATGAGAAAAGAGGGAGGTTTGAACTGTGAGGATGTGGGAAGATTATGTGGAACCGGGGAAGTCAATAAAGGGAAAGGAAACGATATTTCATCGAAGATGACATGACGGGATATATAGACTTTCTGAGAGATCGGATCAAAGCAACGATAACCCTTGTAGGATTCAGGGTAACCGAGAAAGACACATGGAACAGGTCTAGGACTGAATTTATGAGAGGCTAAGTGAGAGAGATTGGGAAAACAGGAACAACCAAAAACCCTAAGGTCGCCATTATTTGGGGTGCGACCAAACAAAGGAGCAAAGGGAACAGCACCATGTTCAGATTTAGTGGGCAACCTGTTTAAGAGGTAGACGCTAGTAGTTAAAGCTTCGACCCAAAATTGAGTTGGTAAGTGAGCTTGATGAAGAAGGGTGCGAACCATGTTAATGATGGTTTGGTTCATACGTTCAGCTTTGCCATTTTGTTGAGGGGTATATGGACAAGATATATGCATGGAAACCCCTTTGGACTTAAGGAAATTTTGGAGAAATTAAGAACGAACATACTCAGCAGCACCGTCTGATTGAAGGACTTTTATAGAAGCGTTGAATTGAGTTTGAATAAGGGTATAGAACTCATCAAATTTTTGAGGAACTTCAGATTTTTTTTAAGAGGATAAACCCACAAAAAATGATTGAAATCATCAAGAAATAACACAAAGTATTTGAAACCATTAAAGGAAAGACAAGGTGAGGTCCAAACATCGGTATTAATAATATCAAAAGCATTTAAAGTTACAGAAGAAGAAGGCCTAAAAGGAAGCTTATGATGCTTTCATAGTTGACATGCTTGACATAAGTGAAGCTTATTTGAAAAGGCCACAGAACCATGAAGATGCTGACTAGAAACTAAACTGGAGAGGACCGAAGAGTGTGGATGACCCAGACGTTGATGCCATACTTGAGAAGAAACAGAGGAAGCAAATGCCGGACATGTTAAAGAGAATGGTGCAAGAGACTTACCCTGCAGGACTGACGGGAAGGAGTATGGAGACCTGGTACTATTGCAGCGTAGACGAGGGGTCCTCATCCACAGATCCTTCACAGAGAAACCAAACAGATCAAACTCAATGGAAAGTTGATTATCAGTAACAAATTGTCAAACAGAGATAAGATTTTTAATAATAGAGGGAATAGAATAGACATGAGAAAATTTAAATGAGGAACAAGGAATTTGACCAACAGATTTAATAGGTAACGCATTGCCATTTCCTATCACAACTTTAGTTGAACCAGTGAAAGGTTTTAAGTGAGATAGAATACCTGAAGTCGGAGTGATAGTATTACCACATGCATTATCCATATACTAAGAGGAGTCAACAGACGAAGGAGGAGGTGGCCGATTATAGTGATCCACATGGTAAGCGGGCTGTTGAAGTTAGAAGCAGTTGCGAGCAGAGTGATTGGGTTGATTACATAACTGGCAGCGAAGACCGGACTGAAAAGTGGGCGCCGGACCAAGAAGGGAAGGAGCACGAGGCCTAAGAGAAAACATGGGAGCTTGATAATAAGAAGAAGAATAAAACATGTTTGGATACTGACCGTTTTGGTGATTTCGGGCCACGTCCGCGACCTCTACCGCGGGAATTCTGGAAACAGCCCCGACCACGCGCGCGATTGTTGGAGAAGGGCTGGGAAATGGTGGAAGCAGGCTGCGGAGGGGGCTCGTTCGAAGAGGAAGCAACCAAGGCTGGAGTACTGCAGAAAGAGAGGCCGGGGAAGCAGTGTTTTGAAGCTAGACTTCATGAAGAAACAGCATAGATCGTGTTTCAACAAAAGTGGGCAGCGGCACTTTGTGGCTTATGGTGGTTGAGACAGATTGGTAGTCAGAGGGAAGGCCAGAAAGAATCTGAAGAACTAAATCAGTTTCTGAGATTGGGCAACCGACCGCGGTCAAGGAATCGGCGTAGGTTTTGAGTTTAGTGACATAGTCGTTGATAGATAAATCAGCTTTCTTGAGACTTGTGAAACTGAAGTTTTAATTGAAGAAGGTGCGAGCCAAGCTGATCGTGAAACAATTTCTCAATTGTTAGCTAGGCATCGCGAGTAGTGAGATTGGAGTTGGGTTTGATGATTGCTTGCAAGATTTCGGTTGAAATCGTGGCCTGAATCCAAGAGAGGACGATGGAATCAAGCTGAGTCCAAGACTGAAAAGCAGGATTAGGAGCGGAGGAAGAAGATTCGTCTGTGGCAGGAAGAGTCGGCGGTGGACAAACAGAGGTGCCGTCGATATGGCCCATAACTCCGTGACTGGGAAAAACAGGAAGGAAGAGCTCCTTCCAGAGCATGTAATTGGTGAAGTCAAGAATAGGATTGACGTAGTTCTTGATATTTGTGAGGCCGGCGGCCGGATGAGACACGGGTGGCGACGGAGTTTGAAGAAGAAGAGTTGGACACTAGAGTTGCAGTCCCAGGTTCGGTCACAGGTCATTGACCAAGGAATCAAAAGATCGGGCCCTGGAGTATGAAGGTTTTTTTTTTTTTTTTAATCGAAACCAGCCGAAATTGAGCAACGGAATTTGAGCAGAACTGAACTGACGGAATTGAATAGAACGGAATTCGAAGATCAGAAGTTGCAGAACGGCTGAGATGGACAACCGATGAAGCTACGGCAGCTGAGATCAGAATTTGCAGCGGCGAAGCGGCGGAGGCAACTGATGAAGAAACGGCGACAAAGGTTGATGATCACAGCAGCAGAATCGAAAGAAGGACAGCAGCGAGAAGAACGCAGCTTGAAGCAAAGATTAATGGCCGTGAAAGCAGAGCAGTATCGGAAATAGTAGCGGCAGCAGCAGGAATGGAAAAAAAAATTGATGGAAAGAGGAAATTGAGGCCGGAAAACAGAGGAGGTATATGGAGCAGCAGGGTTCGAATTTGAGATTGTGTGATTTTGTGTTGGCAAGGGGATTTGTTGCAGCAGGGGAAGCCGGAATTGTAGCAGGGGAAGACGGCGGCGAAAAGAAATTTGCAGGAGGATTGAATCTAATTGGGTGCAAGATCAGAAAGCTAAAGGCACAGATTTGATATATAAGAATTAAAACAAAGGGAGGCCGGGAATGTGGGATTTGAAACTTCGACGGTTCGGTGGAGGAAAAAAGTAAACGGACGGCAAGAAATCCTAAAAAAAAAATTAAGAGGCCATGAAAGAAGGTTGATACCGTGAAAAGATTGATTTTCTATATATACGTTCACGTATATATTGTACCTAAACCCTAGTTGTCTACCGAAACCTTATTTAGGATTACCTAAAATACACATTCTGTCATTTTCAAATGAGGAAAATGGAAAACAGAAAAGGGGAGTGAGCAGTAATGACGCGGATGGATAGAAAGGGACATATCAAGTGTTTGTAGTTTGTACAGAAGTGACATGGAGAAGGAGGGAGGGGCAGAAATGTCAATCAAGGGGGGAATCCAGATTACAAGACAAAAGTCAAGAAGAACCCCCCAGTTCTCCAAGTCACCTATTTTCCCACTCGTGTCAGCCAGAACAGTTGGCCTTTAGTCCAGTCCCATTCAGGTCTTTACGTCATCCTTTTAACTTTTTACGCTTTCCCATTTACCAACTTACTTCAGCCTTCTGAACCAATTTTACAGCCAACACTCAAAGCACAGTAAAGTGATCAGTCAATACACACTCAAAGCACGAACGCAGGCCTAATAAGCTAGGACCACACGACTACATTCACTCCCCACCTGACACATTATTTCTCAAATTCACCAATTAATGTATTTTTTAAAAAAATAAAAAAATTACATGTGTTTTTAGTGAAAAGCTTACGGCTGAATTGTGTTTTTCTATTTTAGTTTGATACATTTAGTACTGACTTCAGTCCTCGGAAATACAGTTTCTAGTTTAGTTGAACAATGTTTGACTCTTTCCTTGAAGCGTAACGAATATAGTTGAATTGAATCTATTTTAAATTAGGAAAAGGAGTAATAGCTATGAAGAGGATGGGAATAGAAGATATAAAATTGTACATTTTGCATTATACTGTACTACTTTGGGTTCTAAGTACTGCTATAATTTATCTAGATTGTCACCTAGAGACTTATTTTAAGATGGTTTATAGCTCTAAAATATATAATTACGTGTTATTGCCAATTTCCCTAATGGAGCAGTTCATCCTTAATTACCCGAAAAGAAAAAATTTGCAAGTGAGTAATTAACTATTGTTTGATCAATTGCTTTCCACAAATTCTTTTTTTGTATGTATGAGCGTTTAGGACTTAGACAATTACAACATAGCATCGCTTAATGAGAAAGAAATTATTATTACTACGGGAAAAGAATTCACTCGAGCGCTCCATTTGATCGGATTGTCTAGTCTTGTATATGCAAACTCATAATCAAATACTACTCAACAAAGTACAATATCATTACAATGTCAAGACTCGATACCCTTCTCACAAAACTCAAAAGGGGATATAATGTGCAACTCAGATGGAAAACCCCAAGTCGCAGCGTAACAACCAGCAGCCGCCGGCCCAAGAAGGAGGAGGCGGGGGGAGGGAGATAGATTAGTAGAGAGGAAGAAGTCCACCGATCTAATTAATATAGTATTCCCTCCCCCTAAAAAAGAACAAAAAATCGGCTGTCCCCTTCAACTCAGACACCACGTAAATTGTACTCACATCTGCTCCATTTCCACGTGGGGCTTCTGACAGCCATTACTATACCCACCATCCACTCTCTCCCAGGCCCCAACCAGTCCAAATAGTCCACCACCACCACCACCCCCCACACTCTTTCTTCTGGCTGCCAGTACCACTGTCCCTGCCAGCCCACAGCAGCTGCCCAGTTTCCACACCCTTATTTCATCTGACACAAACACACTCACACAGTAGCTACTATACTACCATATTTCCCTCCATCTCACCGCTACGCAAGGAAAATGTTAAGACCACTAATGCCACTATCTTATTTCCCTTCCATCATCCTCATATTGTGACACTCCACCAAACCTGTCCAATGCTCCATCTCATTCAATGTTCCCTTCCCTTCCACAATTTTTGCACGCACTACACTTATCCAAAAAACTTCCAATCCATGACGAATTCGTACATTAATAATCCCCCTAGTTTAAACAGATATGAATACTGTTACGAATGATTTCACTCCCCCAACAAATAGGAATATTGTGTTGAAACATTTGATCCCTAGTTCCCTACTATAGAATTGGATTAATGAGAAGGTTTAAAAAAAAGTGTTCAAATTATTTTCACACTAATTTATTTTTCTAGAAAGCTCAAGCTAATTAGCTTTATGTTTCATAAACAAGTAAGGTGGTGGTAACCCCGGATAAAATCAAAATGAAATATGTATATATATATAACAAAAAAATAAAGTGAATAACAGCACTTTGTTTTTCTTAAAATGAAAATTCAAATATCAAACAAAAAGATAATCAAATACTTCTGCTTTCCTACACGAAGAGAAAACAATTCGCAGAGGATTTGGTAAAAATACATGGAAAAAAAGAGGGGTAAAGGTAATCTACAGGCTGAAAGTAGCCGCATGACCAAAATACTCAAATATTGAATTCACTGTTCCCCCCCTCTCTCTCTTCTTTAACTTTATAATGTAGATTGTAGACTAAACTCTATTCTTCAATACTATGGAGCTGGAGTATTGATTGAATAATAATTAATTAATTCTCCATCGAGTAGATTATTCTTGATCCGACAGGGTTATGTTCATCATTAACCTATCCAGAAAAGTTAATCAGCCTTTAATGATGACAAAATATTTAAAGAAAAGATATGCAAATTCCCAATACGATAACGTGGATTGTGGGAGCAGGCTAAAGTATGAAATCCACAACCCCTTTTTTTTTAAGACTTCAGGAAAGTTTTGAAAAAAAAAAAAAAAAAAAAAGAAAGTTTTGAAAGTTTTGGTACAGAAATTAGGATATGATGTGATCGCCCACAATCAGAGCAGCAGCCAGCTGTATTTTTTAATTAAAAAATACTCCTCCACTACTCTTAAAGTAGAAAGTATATCCAGTTCGTAGCAGTATTAATAAACGTTTAATATCTATACGAGGAAGAATATATAGTATACTTTTAAATTTAAATATGTTTAAAAAAAGGGAAAAATTCAAAGTCTCTCAATAGGGGGCGCCGCTGAGAGGGTAGGGCTTGCGTAAGCATAATATATTTTGAATAGTCACATGACATAACGCTGCGACACGTCTAATCAGGCGGCGGCTATGCTTGCCTCGCACCGTGGTCCCAGCACCCGAGCCTCCCCCTCTTCTATTTTTCATTTTTTATTTTTTTAAAAAAACAAGTTCTTCGTAGCCTACAGGCGTTTGGGGTCCCCACCTCTTTGCTCTTTCTGTCGTCTTGATTCTCACGTGTACTACGCTGCTGGTGGTGCTTGCTGGCGTTTTCTCTCCTCGTCCTTTGTCTTAGTACGTCTGCTTCTCACCGTTGGATCATTCATCATGGTTATAATCCCGCTCTTGGATTGACCAGTCAACCCAGTTGATATGATTCTCCCTAGTTTAAGCTTTTAGATAATAGCCACTTTTAAGGCTAATAAATTATACTCCTACAAAGATTAACACAAATAGGATTTTAAATAGTACTACCTCCGTCCCAAAGAAAATAGTCAACATTGAATTTTCATTTACGACGGAGGAAGTAATATATAACTTGGTATACAGGATTACGGTAATCCTTAATAATTATGAAGATAGGTTCTTAAATAATTAATTAATATATGCCTGCAGCTAAAAAATCCTCCTCCTAGTTATTGCATTTGGAAGAACATTTTTTTTTGGGGTACAACTGGAAGTACATATTCTATTATAAGCTAAGGTAGGATAACAAAGAGCTCGCAATTCTTTATTTATTTTTTTTTTTTTGAAGAGGAGCTCGAAATTCCATTTCTCAGATTAACCACTATCAATAAATAATTTTAAAAAATTAAACCAAAGCAACCAGTAGTATGCGAATTTTAGCCATCCATTACTCTGTTTTATGATTTTTATCGATCAAAAAAATGTGATCGGACGGTGAAGGGGCAAAGAAGATACCCAGTCAAAGAGATCATAATCACACACAGTGTACATATATATGTCCCTGGGCTCGGGCACCCGTCTATTTAAGGTGTCGTCGTGCCGTCCAGCCGACGATTACGGGTGACTTAGTGGGTCCACCCAAAACACACACACTCACACACTTCCCCTTCCTTTTCCCTTCTTTTACTACTCCTACTCCTTCCCAAACCGGCCTCTTTTTAAAACAATCAAACACAGACCCACTCCACTCTAAAGGTCTTATATAGCTCCACATAAAAGCCCCACCTCCGAAAGAAAAAAAATAGCCCTCCATTTTTATTCCATGGCTTCGCTCCGGGAAGGTCACTACAGAGGGGTCAGGAAGCGTCCATGGGGTCGTTACGCCGCCGAAATACGGGATCCATGGAAGAAGACCCGTGTCTGGTTGGGCACTTTCGACACTCCCGAAGAAGCCGCATTAGCTTACGACGGAGCAGCCAGGTCCCTTCGTGGCGCCAAAGCTAAAACCAACTTCCCGGCGCCGCCTGCTACCGCCGTCGGAGCTGGTCTGTCCTTAGACCTCAACTTGCCATCGGAGCACCACCACCGGTGGGTGGCGGCGCCTCCTGGTGGTAGGATCTTGATCGGGGAGTTCTTGCAAACCGGCGTGCTTAATGATGTCCACCTGAGGTCGGCGGCTACTCATCATATTAATGTTGTTGATCCTTCTAAAGTTGTGGTTGTGGAAGATCATCTACGAGTTGAGACCGCCGGCGATCTTCCGGCGAATGAGATGGACGGAGGGCCCGGGATGTATCTTGGGGTCGTGAGGCGTGGGTTGCCCATAGATTTAAACGAGCCTCCACCTTTGTGGATGTCTTAATTACGGCCATGGCGGTTTAACATTTCGTTGACGACGTACGAACTTAGATGTTTGCGTTTCGGTTCCATTATCAAGTTTTTATGAAACATCTTCGGATAAGAGATGACGATTGACTTTGTACTGTAAATATGTATCTCTCTTTTTTTCTTTCAGTGTTGACCATAAATTAATCCCATCAAAACGAATATCGCTTTGCGAGTTTCATACACTTCCTATTATTATCCTTACTCCGTGTGATGCATGCAATTTTCTTCTCCAATACAATGTCCTTTTGTCTAATGTTGGAGACGTGAAAAGTGATGATTAAAGGGTAATGAAATATCACCATCATTTACTTAATCACGTCCTTTTTTTTATGTAGAATTTCAATTTATTTTTCTCCTTTAAGGGAAACAGGATTTAGTGGGGCGGTAATAATGAAGGTGTTGAAGGTATTAGGGCCGAAAAGAAAGTGTTTGTAACAAAGAGGAGGGAACTTATTGCCCGAGCAAGAACTACAAGTCCGGACCAAGCGTGTGGCTCTATTTGCCCATTTTGCCTTGATGCATTTTACCTTTCACAGCTAAAAGGATGCTAGCAAGGTTCTATAGCTCGTACTGCTTTGTTTCAGCTTTCATTTTCCATTAAAATAGGCTTTGTTTGTTTGTAGTTTGATTTTACTTTTTGTCTCATTTCAATTCTTAAACACAAATCTAAATACACTATTTAAACATTAATTTAATATATCTTTTAAACTATTGTAAAGTTTAGAACCGATCGTTACTAAATTATTGTAAAATTTTAAGTTTGGTCACTTTCAAAAAATAGTCACTATGCTATAATACTTTCCAAAAATTGTTACTAAACTACACATTCACAATGGTGTTTAATTTGTTTACTAGCTAGCCTCTTTCATTCGCCCTTTCCTTTTGCAACTTCGCTTTCAAAATAGGTACAAATCGTCACCCAGTTATATTATATCTTCCAGTTTCTAAAAGCTATTAGTTCCTTTTTCTCCCTTTCAAATTGAGAGAGACATGATACTTGAGTAGAAAAAGACATCCAAAGACACAGAATTCAACTTCATATATAAAAACAAATACAAAAACCAGGGAAATGAACTTTTTGATGAGAAATCAGAAACGGTGATTTCTATCCATTTTGTTAACCATTTTTATTGGAGATTTTGACAATTTAATTTGATGGATATGGGCCTAGCCCATCCCACACCCGTGGACAGGAAAAAGGGAAAAATTGGAATAGTGAAAACAATTTTTACTATTGGACTATGTTAAGGAAATTAATTGGGAGTTTGTAGCTCAATAATAATAGATCTACCTTTATTCATTCCTGCCCTACAAAGCACTCATCCCGCGCTAGGTAGGACTATTAAAATAAGATGAAATTATGAAAGGATAATGGCTAATCTCAATGAGGTGAAAGCAATATGGATAGAGTTTGAAATAAAGAATTTTCGAAGGGAAAGAAACAGTAGTAAACTGTCAGAAAACCATGACCTAGAAGAAGAGAATTCATGTTGAGATACTGACATGTTGGCTAAAGGGCTCAAGAAATACTGTAACAAAGAATGACCGATGAAAAAGACACTTTAGAAAGTGTGGTAAAACACGCAAAGTCGTCTTTTCCCCCCACAGGCCACAACCACAATTTTGTATTCGACGATGTTAAATAAATTAATAAAAATTCCCTAATTAAAAAACACGCAGACACACAGTAAGATTTGGGGAAGATATCCAATTCCAACAAATCTGTCGTTGTTGGAATATTTTCAATCCCTCCCAGTCTACCTAATAAAGCGTCAGCAGTACCCACAAAGTGGTGCAGCAGCCAGCCCAGCTAGCAAAAGCCAGAGAGAAAAAGTCCACAGATTCTTTCAGATATCGAAGCATCATCATTATTATTATCACCCCTCCTGCCCTTTTTTTTCTCTATTCTATTCAATAGATTACATAGATTAGCATTGCTTTCTTCCTGCCGGCCGTCATTTCCTTCAGGTCATCTCCACTTTTTTTAAACAAAGAAAATATACTTTAGTCCTTTCTTAATCCCTAAATTTTATGATTAATGAAATGGATATAACATTAAATTAAAACTTGGAAGCGGGGACCATTTCCTCTCTTAACTAAGAAGAAAATATAGATTTGATTTGGAAGGGGCAGCCTATAACTTGAAGGAAGAGAGGAGACAAAGACCCACAACAGGATTTTGGTCTGATTTTTTCTTAATTTCCAGAATTGTTGTTTCATTTAATAATTTATTCTTATCAGTTCGTGCAAACTACGAAAACTAATTTGGCTATACATTCTAACTAGTTCAACTAAATACCGGAGTTTACAAAGCAAGAGTTTTATGTTACTCTCACAGCTTAAACTCTCATAACTCTGAACCTGCGCCAATTTTTATTAAGTAATTATATGCAAATAAAGCGGTTGATTTGATAACTTAAACTACATCTGATGCGATGTCTAATCAGTAATCAAAGAATTGTCATAATAATGGTAGTTTAATTAGGTAATGCCTAAGAAATTGAAAAGAAAAAAAAAAAAGAGAAGGTAATTGGCAAAAAGGCGCAGTCAAAAGAAACTGAAAAGGCAGGCTACGGTTGCCTGGTTGGCGCGTGCTGAGTTTGTGAGAGAAAACGGAAGAAGAAAACAAAGAAGGAAGCTACTGCTGATTTATTAAAAAGAGAACGTGGCAATTGGTTGATTGAATAATGTGTCGGCAGCATATTCGTCACGGCGGTCTTATGACTACGTTAGTCTTCCTAATTACAACTCCCTGTATGTATGCCTGTTACGTAGACTCCGTCACGGCTGTCGGTAACGGACGACACTTCGTGTCGTTGCGTTGACGGTCTTCCAATTAGGGTGCAGCATCACCATTAATTAGTTTCGTCCACTTTAACGGCGCCGTTAGGTAGCTAAAGCTACGACGAAGTCGACTTCATCTTCTTCTTTAGGTTGCCAACAAAATTCAACATGTCATTTTCCATCTGACTGTATCTCTTTTAGAAATTTCTTAGCTAAAAATTGACACTTTTTTCATTTACTTTTTATTATCATTGGCCAAGCTTCTCGCTAAATAATTAAAATAATACCTACTTGCTCTGGTACCATATACGTAGGCCACATGTAATATTATATCAACTTTTTCTTCTTTTTTTTTAGTAAAGCATTTACACTTATTATTTAACTAAAGATTTAATGAGCTAATAAATATATATATATACTACTCTCTATGCTAAAATTATTATCTAATTCGAGATTTCACTCTTAGTACAATTTAAACTAAAAGTAAAAATATAAAATGGACAATAAATATAGGACGGATAGAATATACGGTAAGAATCTGAAATAATGTAATTTATAGATCTGCTGGTTTTTGGTGGAAGTAACCAAAGGGTTTTGAGTTGTTTGACTTATTGGGTAAGTTTGACCTGGTAAAAACAATTTGAAGTGTGGGTACTGATGGACGTCTTTGCCGCAGCCACAGTAGAGAACAGAACACAGAACACATCACATCATATGGAATGAGTGGTCCATTTCCTAGCACTGCTGGTTGGTCTTTCGTCACAATCCACCTTTATTTGTCTTCTTTTTTTTTTCCTCATTTCCCTCCCGATTTCTTCTTTTGGGCTGTCTTACCTTCCCTCTTTTTCTTAATTCGTGGTTCCAATAATTGCGTCCCCAAAAAGGAAGAAAAAAGAGGTTCAGGTTTAAGTAATTTATTAATAAAGTCTCCGAGAGAAATTGCTTGAGATTTTTGCTAAGGATTGGGGATAATTAAAACGAGTAAGTTCCACTTTATGAAGGTAGTTCCCTCTAATTTTCTGCAGAATGGATTTTGGGCCCAGACTTTTTGGACGGCGAAGACTTGTATAGTCGTATCATGTATGTAACATTTTTCTGTATTTTAATCGCGTGACAATAATACTTTTTTTTACTTTGTATATGCATTTTAACGTATTGATAAGTATTTCAACATCTGGGTAAGTTTATCAATAAACTATGTTTTGATTAACAAAATATATTGACAATAACGCAGGGGCATTGAAATGCTTTAAAATAGTTGATTTATCTTTTTTCTGCAAACTAGAATGAGGGGAAAAGAACATATACTGCCATCAGGTTACGGGTAAATTGCTGTAAATTGCCTTGAAATTATGAAAGTTAGATGGAGAGGTTTTCCCAAGTCAAAAAGAATGATGTAGTGGACTGGACTCTATAGTCTATGAAGAAGTCATTCTAGGCATTTGGGCTGCCTGGAAATGTAACTCCATACAGTTTGAAACAGACACCCAAAGTAATTCGAGAATAGAAGTACTGAGTTATAAACCACTTGAAATTGGAGTTCCTCTTATATTTTGGTAAATTTTCTTTGTTATTACAAATAGCAAGCATTTTTCCGTCAATCAAAGAATATTTTCACAAATAATTTATTTTACAAGTAGTTATTTTCTCTGTTCTACAAAAATTAGTATTTACAATATGAATTAGTTGCATTCTGAAATTAAATGCCACTAGTCTTCTGCTTACAGATTACAGATATTTGGAATTAGAACATGTCAAGGCAAATTGTATATGGAAATTGAACCGAACCACACCGTGCTTTGGTCAAATTAGTTTATTTTGGGTGGTTTATCTGTCGTTGTACTTGACAAGTTATTCACCTAGCTATGACGGGTCCGGACATTATCCAATAGAAATGGTAGGTCACATGAATTAATTAAAGAAACCAAACAAGTGTTTAGTACTTTGGCTTAATTATAGTAATAATATTATCAAAAACAGTACTGGTGATTAATTTAGTACTAGTATTAGTATCTCATAGAAACTTTCGGCAAAGATAGAGAGAGATGGAGAAAAAAAAAAGGGCGGGGGGGATAGGAAATCTAAAAGTGAATAAATTAACAAGGGAGTAAAGAAAAGAACAAACTCCAAGGAGAGGGACAAAGCGAAAAAGCGTGGGGTACAACAAACTGCCGTCAACTAAGGAAACAGCAGAAATTTCCGCTGCAAAACAAAGCGACTACTGAAATTGGGCTATACTATAGTCTATAGCATCTCTCTCAATCGCTGTGGGGAAGGAATTGAGTGTGGGGAGAGAAAGAAGCAGCCGCCCCACCCCCGCGCGCCTAACAACCCCACCCCCAATTTCATTATTCAAATCCAACACACACTTTACGTCTCTCTCCCATCTTTCCTCATCAGTTGTTTCTATTCTTCGAGGAATAAGGGTCCCCTGGCCCATGGTAAGGGCGTTTATTTTTAACCGTAAAGTCAATGGTTTAATATTTATCGTGGACGCCTTAACCATGCAGCTAAAAAGAAAAAAAAACAGCCTTATTAAGCTGGTAAGAGGCATATCATCAAAGATCGGACACACAAACAAGAGCTGCATCAGTGGCAAAAACAGCTACTCGGATTTAGAAGAGCTTACCACACATTCAAAATCAAAATAAACAGTCGAACATATATAGCAGAAGACCAACCATGACTATCCCTTATTAGGGACTTTCCGGCCAGCAAGGGGCGCTCGACAAAAAATGCATTGAAATGTTATAACGACACTTATTTTGAAAGTAAAGTTTTTTTAATAGTATTTCTTTCATTCCAAAATAAGTGTCATCCTAGACTTTGTACATAGTTTAAAAAACTATTAATTAGGGTAATAAAATTACTTTAATATCCTCAACTAACCCCATTAAAACAATGTCCACCAATAGTATTAATTCTTCTGAGGATAATTTTGAAAACTTT